GCTTTACACAATTGATGTGTGTATGGATTGTGATAAGAGTTGTATGAGCCCCTAATAAAATGATTTTTTTTTAAATTCAATTTTCCCACAAATTTTTTAAAGACCCCTCTTACATAGTACTACCTCCAAGGGGGCTTCAGGTATGTAAATATAAAATATCTTCTCTTTCTTTCTGCAAGTGAGCTTTAAAATGTAAGCACATATGAAATGAGATGTTTAACCAAAAAAAAAAAAATGTAGGAAATAAAGGAAAAGAATATGAAAAAAATCCCTATAAGATTATCTTGTCAGTACTTACAAGTCATCTTTGTCAGCAGTTATAATATTTTCTGAGTATTAATGGCTAAGATGAACTAATAACATCTCTAAGAAAAAGTTTTTACATCATTGACACTTTTCAAGAAATAGCAGTTCCATTGCCATAGATTGCCAACGATCAGGGCCACTACCTTTAAAAGCCCTGAAGCTCCTTACAATCTAATTTTGATGTTCAACTACCTTCTAAAAACTTACTATAGAATACTCTATACTACAAAATAAAGATTAAAATCAGAGCTGACAATTGCTATGAAAAAAATCATAATATTCTGATTAGATACTAGTGGGACATTTATAAATCGATAAAAAAATGATTCAGAAAAAAATCTATTTATGTTATTTATTAACATATAATGTTTGTAAAACAGGTGTGAGTAAGTAAGTGATTAATACCTCTTGATTGTTCATGTTGGCAATTATTAAATAAAGGGATTTCCCACAGGGAATTGATAGAGAAATCCTAAAAAGACAACAGAGACTTATAAATGGTTACATTAAAACTCAAACTCACTGCCATCAAGTCGATTCAGATGATAGCAACCTTAGAGGGCAGGGCGGCCTAAGAGGGCAAGGTAGAACTGTCCCTGGGGGTTTCCAATACTCTCAAGTCTTTATGGAAATAGAGAGCCCTGTGATTCTCCCACAAAGCGGCTGGTGGTTTCAAACGCTGACCTTGCTGTTAACAGCCAATGGGCACTATGATGCCAGAGCTCCTAAAGATTACAAAGAAGTATAAAAAAGAGCTGAATCTGCCTTTCTAACACAGACATTCTTTTCATTTCTCACTCTTGTCCAGTCCTTCAGAGTGGGGAGATAAAGCTATCAGTCACAATGGCACCTTTATGACCTTCACATTAAAGAAAAGAAACACCAGAAGCCAACGCACCAAGAAAACCATAAGTGGGAACAATGCGATTGCTAAGGATTTGGAAGAACAAAGATTGTACTTACAAATTGAGATTCGCGAGCTCTGGGAAACATTTTGGCAACATTGAGTCCATCAATGACAATGTCAAAAGGAGCACAGTTCTTTACAAAGTTTTGAAATCTCGTCAGTTCCTACAAAAGAAAAGCCAGATAAAATACTAAGGAAAATTTGATAAGGATTTTACTATAAATATACACTGCTGTGATTTTTACTCTTATTTCTGTAATTCACAATACTACCCAGGGCAGCATTCACCTAAGGGCAAAGTTCAGAAGGGTTAGGTGAGAAGGAGGGATGGACACAGGAAACACAGGTAGAACAGGGGGAAGTGATGCTGCACTGTGGGGAATACAAACAATGAGATGGACCAAATTTGCATGAATTGTTAAAGGGAAAATGGATCTGCTCGACTCACTTCACAAAAAAAGCTTAAACATACACAAAAAGGCTCTCAAAATGAAATCAGAAAAATCCAGCCTAATGGATGTAATTTCATAGAATTACATGAAATTCTGAAAACAGCAAAACTATAGTAAAAGAAGGAAGATTAATAGTTCCAGGCAATGGGGAGAGGGAAGTGACTGCCATGTGTAAATCAAGTAATTTTTGGCAACATAACTACTCGTATCTATCTCTTCATTATGGAGGTTATTACACAACGGTATATATTTGTTAAAACTCACTAAATTGTACACTGATAAATTTTTTTATTAAAAAATATTATTCAATCTGTATGTTGAGCAAACGATCCAAGAAGATGAAGAAGAAGGTGACATCAAGATTGGAGGAAGACTCATAACCAACTTGTGATATGCAGATGACAGAACCATGGTTGCTGAAAGCAAAGAGGACTACATGTACTTACTGATAAAGACTAAAGTATGTTACACCTCAAGCTCAAGAAGACAAAATTCTTCACACCTAGACCAATACACAACATATGAAATACTCAGAAAATACAGTGAAGTTGGCACAAATTTCCTTTCACTTGGAAGGACAATCAAGGCTCACGGAAACAGCAGTAAAGAAATCAAACAGCATATTGCACTGGGCAAATCTGCTGCAAAAGACCCCTTTAAAATATTAAAGAGCAGAGAGGCACACATTGAGAACTCAGGTGCACCTGGCCAACGCCACAGTATTTTCAATCTCTTCATATGCATGGACAATGAATAAGAAAGACCCATGAAGAATTGATGCATTTTAATTATGGTGTTGGCGAACAACACCTTGAACTACTTTTGATTGAAGTTACCATGGACTGCCAGAAGAATGAGTCTATCTTGGAAGAAGTCCAGCCAGAACGTTCCTTAGAAACAAAGATGGAGGGACTTCATCTCACATACTTAGGACATGTTACAGGAAGGATCAACAGGTCCCTGGAGAAAAAATCATACTTGGTAAAGTAGCAGGTCAGCAAAAAAAGAAGACTCTCAACAAGACTGGCTTACAAAGACAAAGAAAGTGGCTGAAACAATGGGCGCAGGCACAGCAACAATTGTGAGGATGGTACAGGACCAGGCAGTGGTACAAAGGATCACCATGAGTTAGAACCAACTTAATGGCACCGTACAACAACAAATTTTGTTAAATGTAAATTATACCTCAGTAAAGTTGATCAAAAGAAAATCCTACCCTAATACATAATTCATGCATCCCTAAAAGAACCACTGACCTATATGCAGGTTTTCATTTCCACTTTGACTACTCTTTTCTATCCCTGACCACAACTGGAGGGGATCAGCCTCCTTTGTTTCAGCTCAGCAAAACACTTCGCTCAAAAATTTCTCTGTTGAAGACCCTAAACAATCATTAATGCGAAAGAGGGGGATTGGAGTAGAGACCCAAAGCCCATCTGTAGACAGTTGGACATCCCCTCACAGAGGGTCACAAGAAAGGGTCGAGCCAGCCAGGGTACGGTATATCAATGACGAAACTCACAACATTCCTCTAGTTCTTTAATGCTTCCTCCCTACCACTATCATGATCCCAGTTCTACCTTACAAATCCAGCTAGACTACACTGGTACAGATAAAGAGCTCTCAACATATGGAATCCAGGTCCGATAAACCCCTCAGGAACAATAAAGGGAGTTGCGATACCATGAGGGTAGGAGAAAGGCGAGGGGAGAAGGGGAACAAAGGGGGAACCAATCACAACGATCGACATATAAACCACCCCCTAAGGGGGCAAACAATAGAAACATGGGTGAAGGGAGACAGTGGATGGTGTAAGATATGAAAATAATTATAATTTATCAAGGAGTCACGAGGATGGGAGGGTGTGGAGGGAGGGTAAAAAGAGGAGCTGATACCAAGGGCTCAAGTGGAAAGAAAATGTTTTAGAAATGATAAGGGCACCATATGTACAGATGTGCTCGATACAATTGATGTATGAATTGTAATAAGAGCTATAAGAGCCCCCAATAAAATAATTTATTTAAAATTTTTTTTAATTTCTCTTTTAAAATATACATCCTACAAAATGTTTAGAAAGTTCCAGTTAAAATCAAATTAAGTACCAGAAGAAACAGTTATAATATTACTTATCAATAAACATAAGACTATCATGAAAAATTAAAAGTGTATATACAATATGACCATTTTTGTTTCTGTCTATATATATGAACTAAGGGAAACAGAACAAATGCATTAATGTTTAAGTTCAAATTTCACAGAAAATAAACTTGGAAAGTATTTTCCAATATACTTCCAGTTTCTCATTTTAGTGCTGCTCTTACTATATTCATCTCACAAGTAATGATAAATGTAAGTCAGTCAATATTGGCAAAGAAGGTACATCTATAAAAATCGAGTCAAATTAGATAACTTACAAAATCCTCATCTATTCTGATATTCCATGATGTTAACAAGACTTGAAAATATCTTCAAATCACAGAGTGCAAAGAACATACTTAGGGTGGCTTATTTGAAAAGTAAGTCTCACAGGCCTATATATATAATTAACAGGTTATGTATTAAAAAACCCTATTGGACAGAGTAGAACTTCTCCTGTGGGTTTCTGAGGCTATAAATCTTTATGGGAGCAGAAAATCTCATCTTCCCCTTGCAGAGTGGTTGGTAAGCTTGAACAGCTGACCTTGTGGTTAGTAGTCAAACAAATAACCCTCGGCAATCAGGACTCCTTATTGTACAGTAACTCTTATTTCTGACCTCTTTTTAAGATAAATTGGAACTGCCTGCTATTCAGTCCCAATAAAGGTGAAAATTCTAAATTCATGTAATTTGCACTGCTCAAATACATCTGTGGGTCAGAGGAGATACCACGTGAAGTATCACTTGACCTAAATACTTGGTATAACACAAACTGCTTTAAATAAAGTCAGCATGCACTTCGATCTCAGGCTAGCTAATACTATAGTAAAATGTCCACACATATATATGTGTATTTATATATACATCTATGCGTATGTGTATCTATATATCCCGATTTCTTTTTTCCGGACGAGCAGAGTGAAGAGTGGTATATGGCACATGTCAGTATCTCAAAAGCTAGAGGTGATAGGGGAAAACTGGTGCCATTTTTTAGTCAGCAGGTCAAATATACCCAGAAACAAGTCTAACATCTGAGGCATCAAATGTGTGTTACTCACTGTTACGTCCTGAACAATTTTCTGTTCAGTAAGTCTCTACCCAGTAGTTTACATTCTAGCAGGGGAGACAAAATGAGCTCAGGTGGCACACGTGGCTTGCTAGCCAAAAGGTCAGCAGTTCGTAAGCACCAGGTGCTCTCTGACGTGGCGATTTGCTTCTCTAAAGATTAGTCTTAGCTGTGAGGCAGTTCTACTCTGTCCTACAGGCTTGCCATAGTCAGAAGTGATCCAATGGCAACAGATTTTTTTAGAAGAGACAAGCAATACACAAGTTAATAAGTAAATAAATAATGCAATTTCCAGTAGAGAAGGATACCTCAAAGAAAATTTAAGTATGTTTTCCAATTAGCATAAAATGTTAACACCCTTCTCCCTACTTTAGATGTATCAGACAGGGACGGCCTTTCTAATGAAGTGGCATTTAAAACCAAAAGTGCAGGATAAAAGTGAGGGCGTAAGCCAGCTCTCTCCGAGAGAAGAGTTTCTTAGAGGAAACAGCTGCCAGCGTGCAAAAGGGTTCTTTCTGCACGTTTGAGGATTAGCAACTAGGCAGAATGGCAGTTGGAAGAATAAAAAGTTGAATTAAAATTGCTTTAAACAACAAAAAAAAGTTGAATTAAAATTGCTTTAAACAACAAAAAAAAGTCACCTCTTATTTGTTACTGTAATGTGAGAAAGAGGAAATAATTGTGAAAGCAATGCTTAAACTATTACTCAAAAGTCTTAGATCCTTAATCAACCTCTTAATAGAGGGTCAAGTAAAACGGGTATTTGTTTTTATTACTGTTACCAAATCACAAAGGAATGGCAATCAGTTTGTAGCAAACAAGCAAGAAAAAGATGGCCCCGGCTTTGACACGGCATAAAATTACCTTTACAGTTGAGGGGCTCTCATACCTGCCATCAAGGAGCTGACTCCATAATTATAAATCATTATCTCAACAAGCCAGTTAGCAGACTTGACCCTTTTCGTCATGATTACTTTGGTATCAAAAGATGAGACCATCAGCAGGTGAGGTGAGTATTTTTTTCTCAATAAGTAATATGCAGACACGCTAAAACTCCTTTTTCACTTCTCTACTCAGAAAGTTACAGCTCTTCCACTTTCTAGAATGAGGACTCATGCCCTGGAAATGTCTACGATGGTTTACTTCTATTCTGAAAGTTGGATACAAAGCTCACCAAGAAGTTATCCTCTTTTGTTACTGCCTACTACTCTACCACAGCAACTAAAGGGAGAGAGCCCAAACCCAAACAGACTCACTGCCACCGAGTCCATCTGACTCGAGGTGACCCTAAAGGGCAGGGCAGAACTGCCCCTGCCAGTTTCCGAAACTGGAACTCTTTGCAGGAGTAGAAAGAGCCCCATCTTTCTCCCACAGAGCAGCTGGTGGTTTCAAACTGCTGTCATGCAGACAGCCGCCCAATGAGTAACCACAAGGCCACCAGGGCTCCTTAGAGAAAAAAGAAGGAGACATGCTCGAAATTATGTACTCTCAGAGAAACATTAACCATATC